AAGGGACTATTCCTCAGCAAAGGAATCTAGAACAGTTGCCTCTTCTACAGCCCTAGATTCCTCTCCCTCACTAACAACCCTGTTTGCCCATTATTGCCACGGGAACTTCCTTTGTAATGCAATCAGATGGGATCCTGCTCCATTCCCTAGAAGCTAAACAGCCCCAACTCCCTTGTAATGATCACTACTACTTTGTCTTTTTACTGTCCCATTGTCAAAAAGGTATATGAGATGTTCTAAAGAGCTCTCTCTAGTGAAAGTAACAGAATATGATTTTGAGTCAGGAATAGTAGGACATGAAATAATAATTTAGGTCAATCACCATTGTTCAGAAGTATTTTTGAAAACAAAATACTTTATATTTCCCATCCATTTATGTAATATTAATTCCTTTACGATGAAGGGACAAAAAGCATCAACCTAACGACTGACAGGGAATCTAAAAGAATCCCAAGGAATAAAAACAACAAGTTATTTTGCAACCAGTTTCTAAAAAGCTTTGATTTCATGATTTCCAGTTAACCCTGGGAGTTAATCTCAACTGTTTAAAATTAGCTTAATTTCATATTAGGTAAACGGAAAGTGTTTGCAAATGATTTTACACTACTACCGTGCAAGTCTTGTTAAATCCAGTCACATAAATGCTGGATGATTTTTAAAGCCACATTTCCTTATAATAATGTTATGAGCACAGCATTAATCTTCTCATGTACAACTATAAAAAAATCCTGGATTTTGTTGCTTTAGAAGCATTTTCAACACAAAACTTTGAGCAACTACAAAAATGTAGATGCACCCACACATACCACGAAAATTATGACATACAGTTTGCTGGTGTGCTAGAGCTTGCTATTTTTACGCACGGACTGGATAAATTAAGCAATTGCAAATTCAAAGTTTTAAATGACTAATGCATGGTGTTCTAAATCTGGGCTTTCAATGTTAACATTGGTAATTTAAAGACTAAGTCTTAAACTACACTTTTGTGTGGGCTGCAAGTAATAATACTACAATGGAACTTTGGAAGCACTGGCTCTTTGGTATAAATTAATTTGAATCTGCTTTTACACCATGAGCATAGTTCACCTTTTTTAGACAGCACTGGGCATCACCGGAGTTTGTGGTTAGAAAATTGTTTTTAAGATAGACACACTAAAGAGAAGAGCATCAATTTAAACCTGCTGAGTTGCAGCATCCCAGTTAGTGTCAGAGGCACTAGACCTGTTTCAGGAAAGCACTACTAGAATGTGTAAATGTCATTATAGTCAACGAAGGCCATTATCACACTGACTCTAGCCTAAATTGTAGCCATTGATGGATGTTGACATAATAGCTTGCCAATATTAAGAGTGGCAAGTCTTACAACTAGCCAGGGGTTTTTGCTAGAACAGTTTTTCACCATCCTAGTAAATTTATCAGCTTATCACAGAGTCAAATGATCACTGGAGCTAACAAAAGGCAACATGGCCGGAAGTAAAGGAGGTTGTGACTTCACAAAGCTTAAGTCCGAATAGAAACCAAGATGACTGAGACATTTCTCATCACAGTTCTTAAGGGTAGATACTGACAGAAACACTACAAAGCAAAGTATGCAAAATTGGAGCAGGACCAGAGTTCAGCATGCATGGTGGCCTCTTCCTGATACAGTCCCATCCACTACTGTTATGTGGACTGACTGTGCCCAGGCAGATGACATTGAGTATTATGTGTGCTACCAAGCTAGCCCATAAAGCTGCATATTATCAGGAAGTACAAGACTAGAAAATCCTGTGAAGTCCAGCCTAACATCCTTTAAGATGGAAAATTAAAAACAAACAAACAAACAAACAAACAGCTGTATTTGAAAAAGTAATGGCCACAGTTTAAACCCATGCTGGTCCAAGCAGGTATAAATGTAAGGTTAGAGGTTAACTTGTTGATGCATTTACTTCAGGAAGAACAAGCTAAGCCAAGATGAAGGAAATAATGCAATTATGCTATTAAACTTTTTGCCCCTCAGCACTGTGTGCAACACTTGTAGTATTCTACACCAATCATTCTTCTGGTAACAGTTGCTAATTGAGAGCTGGATACCAGGGCTGGCGCTATTATTATTCTGCTACTATTCTACTCCTCTTAAATTGCTCTGTCAGGCTTCCGTCACTTGAGACAAGTTCCATTATAGGAGACATTAGGTGTATTTAGGTATTTGCCAGATAATAGAGTAAGGTTCTTAGGCACCAATCTGTACAGATTAGTCTAATCTGTTGCTGTTGGAAACCTTGTTTCCAGCAGTAAAGTAGACAATAGTTTCAAATTACCTACAATAAGGTTAAGCTATTGGCAATATATGTTTTCAGGCGAGAAGAAAACCAAAACAGAACTCATGCATTCCCAATATTGTCTTTAACAGATCAGGTAGGTATCTGAATTGAGATTCTAGTTTCTCTAAAAACTATTCCTAATGGATTTGGCTCCATTTAAACTGCTTTATTTGTGAACATTCTCGTATTTCTGAATGCAGAATATAACAGAAGCTCAATAATGTTACTTCCTGAGTCCAACAAAGGATGAATAATTAACATTTCAATATTGGATAAAAGTTTGTTATTTTCACACCAAAATAGGATTTCCATGAGCAAAGTCAAACAATTAGAGATTTTAAGGATTCTGTAAAAATGAAGGCAATAAGCCCATGAAGTTAAAGACAAAATGGCAAATACCTGTAGCCTGGTCCTAAAGTAATGCAGCTTTTCAGTAATACTTTTCAGAAAATATAGAAATGTTTTTTATTTAAACAAATCTCCAAATAACCAACTAAGGACTGAAGTCAGATCATCCTTCCCTTTAGCTTTTCCTAATATGAAACTACATACAATTTTTTTCTATTACCCCATTTCTTAAACTTGCCTTTAATTCTATAGGACAACAGGTATCATGGATACAAGCACTGAGAAAGGAAGAGCAATACTTGGTTTATTCATAGAATCATAGAAAAGTTAGGGTTGGAAAGGACCTTAAGATCATCTAGTTCCAACCCCCCTGCCATGAGCAGGGACAGCACACACTAAACTATGTCACCCAAGGCTCTGTCCAGCCTGGTCTTGAACACCTCCAGGGTTGGAGCATTCACAACTTCCTTGGGCAACCTATTCCAGTGCCTCAGCAGGGGCACAAGGTTACCTTGTAAAATCCTAAACTGCATTTTGCAATACCTTGCAAATATTCAGCCAAGCTACATTGGATCAGCCATTATAACAACTGAAATGTATAGATGTCTCCCAAGAAGGAGTACAAACTGAAGAAAAGCAGAGCATGCAAGGAGAGAGACAGGAATCAAAAACTATCTGGAAGCAGTAGGAACGGGTCTTTAAAATTTTAACACCTACCTCTTCTAGAGACTACACTGCAGTAAAAGTAACATGCCAGGAAAAACAAAAACAGAAAACCCCCAAAAAAGACCCAACCCAAAGCAAACCAGTCTGATGTCATTTTATTGTTGTTAAACAAGAAAGTGCAAGTGAAGAACACTAAATGTATGTGCACTACTAGAACACTAAAAGAACCTATGGATTATTTCCCACCCCCCCTTCCATTTAGCTGTTATTACCAATGATAGGTTGATTTCTATGTCCTCAGTGTCCTTCCTGAGCTTGTAGAAGCTGAGTAGTCTGACTGTGAATGTGCCTGGTGGCTAAGGTATACAGATTGAGGATTTTGGCTCAAATTCTTCCTCCAGTGAATATCAAATTACTTTGTATAAAACTGTTTCCACAAGAAAACTGAAAACCAACATGACAACACAGTCACTAGGCATGCCTTCAACGTGGGACAGTTAGTCTGAGACCTATACTCTGAATCAGATAAAACCAATTGGAATGTCAGAAGCACTCATGTAGCTTCTCCCCAGTTCTCAGAATTTTCCCCTGCGTTTTTTTTTTAATTTAATCAGATAAAATTATTCAGTTCAGTTTTTTGCTACTGTTAATACAGTTTTGGTTCAAAATAAAACTTATTTTTCAAGTAACCCAAGTGGGAAAACACAATTAACAAAGCTTTATGTCTAAAATTTGGGGGGTTATGTTTTTTTTCAGGTGTACAGATTGAAATGTTATTCAAAGTCA